TAATTTAAATTAAAAATTTTTATTTAACTTTAAATTTTTTTAATTTCCTAAATTTAATTCTTTGTGCCTTATATTACCTTTTTTGAATATACGTTTAAATATATTTGAATTAAATAATTATTTAGAGATAAATAATTTATTTTTTATATATATCTATTTATCTAAATATTTTATAAAAATATATAATAACTTTACAATGTATATACATTCCAGTTTGAATTAATTACATAATTATTCATGTTATTTAAATATAAAGATGAATAAATATATATATATATATATATATATATATATATTTTACTGAATTTATTTTGTTATTGTATATATTATAAACGTTTTAAAATAAAGCAATAATTATACATTTGTATCATTATAGGAAATTTATCTAAATATTATATATTATGTTGTCACTTACTTAGTGCAACTTTTTGATTTGACTACTTTTTGATGCTAATATTTTAACCTTTTTTCTCGTATTATCAATATAATTATTTAGCGCAATTTTTTGATTTCACTACTTTTTGATGCTAATATTTTAATTTTTTTCTAGTATTATTAACAAAAATAAAATATAATTTTTGAGAAAATATTTTTGATAATGATTAATTTTTGCAAAGAATTATTTTGGCTATAAACATAATTTTTGAGAAGATTATATTTTTTATTATTATAAAGAACTATTTTTGCTGACGAAAGATATAACTTAGCGCTTTTTTTTTACATCTGTAATGTCATTTTTTGTGGGATTTCACATATTTTTGCAAAGATCATTAAACAAAATGCATTAAATAAATGTATATTTTTTTATATTTATAATGAGAGAAGACGAGAGAGAGCGAGAAGACCCAAGAGAGAGAGCGGGAGAGAGCAAGAGGGAGCAAGAGGGAGCAAGAGAGAGCGAGAGAAAGCGGGAGAGAGTAAGAGGGAGCGAGAGAGAGCGAGAGAGAGCGAGAGAGAGCGAGAGAGAGCGATAGAGAGCGATAGAAAGCGGGAGAGAGCGAGAGAGAGCGATAAAGAACGATAGAAAGCGGGAGAGAGCGAGAGAGAGCGGAAAAAAACGAGAGAGAGCGAAAGAGAACGACAGAGAGCGGGAGAGAACAAAAGAAGGCGAGAAACAGCGAGAGAAAGCGAGAAAGAGCGAGAAAAACCGAGAAAGAGCGAGAGAAGACGAGAGAGAGCAAGAGAACGCGAGAGAGAGCGGGAGAGAGCGAGAAAACGCGAGAGAGAGAGCGGGAGAGAGCGAGAGAAAGCGAGAGAAGGCGATAGAGAGCGAGAAAAAGCGATAGAGAGCGGGAGAAAGCGAGAGAGAGCGAAAGAGAGCGAGAGAGAGCGAGAGAGAACGAGAGAGAGCGGGAGAGGACGAGAGAAGGCGAGAAACAGCGAGAGAAAGCGAGAGAGAGCGGGAGAACGCGAGAGAGTGCGGGAGAGAGCGGGAAAGAGCAAGAGAGAGCGAGAGAGAGCGAGAGAGGGCGAGAGAGGGCGAGAGAGAGCGAGAGAGAGCGAGAGAGAGCGGGAGAGAACGAGAGAAGGCGAGAAACAGCGAGAGGAAGCGAGAAAAAGCGAAAAAAACCAAGAGAGAGCGGGAGAGAGCAAGAAAGAGCGAGAGAGAACGAGAGAGAGCGGGAGAGAACGAGAGAAGGCGAGAAACAGCGAGAGAAAGCGAGAGAGAGCGAAAAAAACCGAGAGAGAGCGGAAGAGAGCGAGAGAGCGAGAGAGAGCGATAGAGGCCAAGAGAGCGCGAAAGAGAGCGATAGAGGGCGTGAGAGAGCGGGAGAGAGCAAGAGAGAGCGAGAGAAGACGAGAGAGAGCGAGAGAACGCGAGAAGGCGAGAAACAGCGAGAGAAAGCAAAAAAAACCAAGAGAGAGTGAGAGAAGACGAGAGGGAGCGAGAGAGAGCGAGAGAGAGCGATAGAGAGCGATAGAAAGCGGGAGAGAGCGGAAAAAAACGAGAGCGCGAAAGAGAACGAGAGAGAGTGGGAGAGAACAAAAGAAGGCGAGAGAAAGCGAGAAAGAGCGAAAAAAACCGAGAAAGAGCGAGAGAAGACGAGAGAGAGCAAGAAAACGCGAGAGTGAGCGGGAGAGAGCGAGAAAACGCGAGAGAGAGCGGGAGAGACCGGAAGAAAGCGAGAGAGCGAGAGAGAACGAGAGAAGGCGAGAAACAGCGAGAGAAAGCGAGAAAGAGCGAAAAAAACCGAGAGAGAGCGAGAGACGACGAGAGAGAGCGAGAGAACGCGAGAGAGAGTGGGAGAGAGCGAGAGAACGCGAGAGAGAGCGGCAGAGAGCGAGAGAACGCGAGAGAGCGGTAGAGAGCAAGAGAGAGCGAGAGACAGCGAGAGAAAGCGAGAGAGGGCGAGAGAGAGCGAAAAAAGACGTGGGAAAGCAAGAGAGAAAGGGTGAAAGAGGGGGGAGAGTGAGGGGAGAGAGAGGGGGAGAGAGAGAGAGAGAGAGTGAGAGAGAGCAAGAATTTATTTTTTGTTTGGTTGCTTAAAAGGTTAAGCAGCTGAGGAAAATGTCACTATACTAGGATGGGTGACCGCGGATAAGGTAAAGCAGCTTCGGACAGAATCACTTTGTCGGGATGGGTGATCGGGACAAGTACGACGCCGTATCTTAAAAAAAAGTGACACCTTTTCGACCAAAAAATAACTTGAAAAATTCATATCTCCGCAACCAATAGAGCTATCCAGTTCCTTAAGGTCTCATTTTACTCGGAAAAAATCGCGCTTTCGATTGATATGGTCATCTTTTGAAAAATATGTTTCCGTTCATGAAATATTTCAAATTTTTGTTTTCAAGGTTACGAAAATCGTGTTACGTCCGGTAAAGGATACACAGTAGCGTCCTACGGATAATTTTCGCTATTGTTTCGATATTTTCGCTATCTTTTCGATATCTTTCGATATTTTTTTTTGTTTTTTTGTAGATTGTATTTTAATTTGACGAATAAAAGATATAACTTAGCGAGACGCTACCGCGTCTCCTGATATATCGAAACTACGATATATATCGAAACTGTATGCATTAAGATGACGATACTTGAAAACTATTTTGTTAGTTGTGAAGAGGGGTAGAAAAAATAAATTTTTATGCGATTGATTAAACTTTATTGAACATATTTCATCCATGGTCGAAAACCTTTGGCACACAATAAGCATCTATACTTTGCATTTGGATCTGTCCAGTTTGTTGTATCATTGAATTTCCTTTTGAGACACAATTGATGTGCCCAACGTCGACAAGTATTGCACATTACTAAAGATATTTGACGATCGCTGAAACAATATTGACAAACGTCTTTCATACATCTAGATGACGTTAATAAGGATTCGGCAATTGTAATTCGATATTGTGCAGGATTAAAATTTTCATCAAATGATTTGTCGCGTATTATACAGTCTAGATAATATATAACATATGTTCCACAATTAAATGTATCCTTTTGAAAAGGCCTATTATTACATGTTATTTCGCGCCACGATCTATCACATATGTTTTTACCAGACTCATCTATCAAAGAGGTTTCCTTTAAATAATTTTTAAATGCTGTAATCGCTCGTTTCTTGTCAGGACTTTCGGTATATTTTGGATCTAAGTGTAAAATTGTATTCTTGTAACAATCAAAAATTAAAAGATGCCAATGAGATAAATATAAATAAGGTATTAACATTACACCGCTAATAGGATTTTTTATATTGTACATGCGCCAATGTGCACTCTTAGATGTTTTATAGGAATTTCCTATCATATAGTTTGAATGATTTGTAGGAACATACAGGTATATAAAGTTAGCAGAGATGCTGTTTAGTAAAGTAATTGCGAAACAATCAATAATCTTGCCTTCAATCCAATTTTCATTTTTTAAAGTACAAAATTCTTCTGCAATAAGATTATAAATATCAAATCCTGTTACTGATGCATTTGTTATTGATCCGTATTGTCCAATTGTAAATGTAGGGTCTGGTGATTTCATATAATATTCGACATCCAAAAATAATCCATTTTCAAGGGCATTTGCATGAGTAGAACTTTCGCTTAAGTTCAATTCTGATAAATCTATTGTATTTTTATTTGATATAGGCGTACTTGTACGAAAGTTATACTTTTTAGCTATGCGTCCTAAGGAGCGAGCTTCAAAATGACTGTACAAAGGTTTTTGCTTTTTTTGCCACGTTTCTTCTATTAATTCGTTATTTGTGTCTTGTGTATTACAATATTTAATATTACGTTTTCTGCGTTTTATAGATATATTCAATTTCAATTCAGCGCATACTTGTGTTGTATAATCTTTCATTTTTTTAACAAAACGTCCAACATTTAAGTTCACTTCATCATTTAAAACATTTTTTTTTACAATATTAAAAAAACTTTCAACATTCGCATTGCTTAATCGAATTTTATCAGGTGTAACCAGTTTTAATAGTAACCACAGTTTTAATAGCAGACCACATTGGAACAAAAGGCATGTAATGACTTGTAATGTAATCTGCAATTTCTGGAGCATAGTATTTATTATCTTTTACACTATTTTTTTCAACAGTATTTTTTAAATCGCACAATTTCGATATGTATCTTTTAAAAAATGGCGAATCGATGAAAATTCGACCTTCTGGCTCATTATTGTCTACAAAGTCTGCGTCACTTTCAAAATCTGAGTTTACATCGTGTATTTCATTCTCAAATTTATATTTTGAAGCATGAAATTTTTTCATATTGATAATACTATAATATTATGAGCCTCTTTGTTAGATGATGTCAATAATATGATCATAAATTTTTCATAACAATAATCTAAATCGTCTAAAGTGTTACAATGTATCAATATACCCATGCACTCTAATATGAGACTTTTATTTTTAATACTTTTCGAAAATTTGTTAGAAATAGTAGACGAAATGCGCTTTTGAAAGTGTGCACAACAGCTATGTACAACAATTAAGTTTGAACGTATTATTTCTTTCTTATTAAGCGTTATGTAAACTTCTTCTAAATATTGTGATACTGTTAGTGTATTCCACTCGTTCATAATTGCATTAATTAATGCCCAACTCCAGTCGACAACGATAACTGAGAATAATGGCCAGCTAAAACGTTTAGTTCGCAAAAATGTTTCTTTGTTAATTACTAACGAATGGCTGGCCATCTACACCTAATATTTTAGGTATGTACGCAGGGCACTCCCCCTACAAATAGTAAAAAGTTGATCTAAATCCGAGAGCAACATCATGCGGCCTCTCCTAGTAAGTTTATTATAAAAATTTTCTATTTTACATTTATGTATTTGTTTAATTTTATATCTAATTTTACATTTATGCATTTTTGTTTTTCCAGCTATTTCAAAAACAGAAAAAAAATTTGATCGAAAGAAATTCTTGAATTATAAAAGGATATGGAATAACAATCAGGGAAATATACGAAGTATTGTACTAAATGTATTACAATCTCGATCCAAAGATACAACGAATATTATGACAAAATCTGTACATGAAGAGACTACTTCAAAACGTTGTAATGAAACGTTACACAAAATAAATTATGAACCGTTACACAATAGTTTAGCTACACCACAGCGATGTACTGTAAGATCGACGCGTAAATTACTTTTTAATGAAAATGACATGGAAAAGTTGACTGATATTGATATGCAATGCGAAAGTACCATAGATTGCGTGAATAATAGTGATAATACATTTAGCAGTAAAGGTGACAATAGTGACAGTTCTATACAATTTCATAAAAAAAATGACAAGAAAAAGTTGACTGATGTTGATATGCAATGCGAAAATAACATAGATTGCGTAAGTAATAGCGATAATACATTTAATAGTAAAAGCGACAATAGTGATAGTTCCATACAATTTCATCAAAAGAACGTAAACTTACAAGTACAAAAGAAATTTTCCATTTTGCAAGGACGATTTCATATTCAACGAAATATCATTTTTAACGAATATGAAATCATTAACAGAGATAAAATACGAGAAATAATACAATACAATATGGTACATTTGCTACATTTTCTATGTCCGTTAAAGTTTTATGGCGGAATACGACGTAACAGTGATTGTTTAGTAGCATACGCAAAGTGCAGATACATCAGTCATGTACAACAATTTAAGTTTGATATAGAGAATTTAAATAATGCTATTGTTGATGTATTTGTTTCAAGTACAAAATGTACTGAAATATTGCACAAAGGACCACCTATTTTTTTAAATTTAAAAGGTGAATCGCGAGATCAGGCAAAGTTAAAAATGAATTATATATCTCCTCGAATGTTGCAATTAAAAATATTGGAAAATGTGGATCATGAACTTGCTAATGATGGATATTTTGAAGAATTGCGTAGACTTAGTACTTATCAAAAAACAAAATCTGAGGAAAATAAAAAAAATGACTCATATCTTTCTTCATACGATTTATCTGATTTATTTCAGAAATATATTATAGATCAAGAATCTAATGATCCATATATACGAAATGTAAGTTTGCCATTCCATGTATACAATATGTATACAGAGGAACAAATTAATGTATTGGATAAAAATGACATTATAATTCATTTTGATGCTACTGGCTCTATTATCCGTAAACCAAAAGGTATAAAGTGCAAACGCATTCTATATTATGCAATCGTTGTTAATAAGAATGGTACTATACTTCCAGTAGCTAAAATGATAACCGCAGTACACGATATTAATGCAATTAGCATATTTTTAAAAACATTCCGACATTTTTTGCGAACTAAACGTTTTAGCTGGCCATTATTCTCAGTTATCGTTGTCGACTGGAGTTGGGCATTAATTAATGCAATTATGAACGAGTGGAATACACTAACAGTATCACAATATTTAGAAGAAGTTTACATAACGCTTAATAAGAAAGAAATAATACGTTCAAACTTAATTGTTGTACATAGCTGTTGTGCACACTTTCAAAAGCGCATTTCGTCTACTATTTCTAACAAATTTTCGAAAAGTATTAAAAATAAAAGTCTCATATTAGAGTGCATGGGTATATTGATACATTGTAACACTTTAGACGATTTAGATTATTGTTATGAAAAATTTATGATCATATTATTGACATCATCTAACAAAGAGGCTCATAATATTATAGTATTATCAATATGAAAAAATTTCATGCTTCAAAATATAAATTTGAGAATGAAATACACGATGTAAACTCAGATTTTGAAAGTGACGCAGACTTTGTAGACAATAATGAGCCAGAAGGTCGAATTTTCATCGATTCGCCATTTTTTAAAAGATACATATCGAAATTGTGCGATTTAAAAAATACTGTTGAAAAAAATAGTGTAAAAGATAATAAATACTATGCTCCAGAAATTGCAGATTACATTACAAGTCATTACATGCCTTTTGTTCCAATGTGGTCTGCTATTAAAACTGTGGTTACTATTAAAACTGGTTACACCTGATAAAATTCAATTAAGCAATGCGAATGTTGAAAGTTTTTTTAATATTGTAAAAAAAAAATGTTTTAAATGATGAAGTAAACTTAAAAGTTGGACGTTTTGTTAAAAAAATGAAAGATTATACAACACAAGTATGCGCTGAATTGAAATTGAATATATCTATAAAACGCAGAAAACGTAATATTAAATATTGAAATACACAAGACACAAATAACGAATTAATAGAAGAAACGTGGCAAAAAAAGCAAAAACCTTTGTACAGTCATTTTGAAGCTCGCTCCTTAGGACGCATAGCTAAAAAGTATAACTTTCGTACAAGTACGCCTATATCAAATAAAAATACAATAGATTTATCAGAATTGAACTTAAACGAAAGTTCTACTCATGCAAATGCCCTTGAAAATGGATTATTTTTGGATGTCGAATATTATATGAAATCACCAGACCCTACATTTACAATTGGACAATACGGATCAATAACAAATGCATCAGTAACAGGATTTGATATTTATAATCTTATTGCAGAAGAATTTTGTACTTTAAAAAATGAAAATTGGATTGAAGGCAAGATTATTGATTGTTTCGCAATTACTTTACTAAACAGCATCTCTGCTAACTTTATATACCTGTATGTTCCTACAAATCATTCAAACTATATGATATGAAATTCCTATAAAACATCTAAGAGTGCACATTGGCGCATGTACAATATAAAAAATCCTATTAGCGGTGTAATGTTAATACCTTATTTATATTTATCTCATTGGCATCTTTTAATTTTTGATTGTTACAAGAATACAATTTTACACTTAGATCCAAAATATACCGAAAGTCCTGACAAGAAACGAGCGATTACAGCATTTAAAAATTATTTAAAGGAAACCTCTTTGATAGATGAGTCTGGTGAAAACATATGTGATAGATCGTGGCGCGAAATAACATGTAATAATAGGCCTTTTCAAAAGGATACATTTAATTGTGGAACATATGTTATATATTATCTAGACTGTATAATACGCGACAAATCATTTGATGAAAATTTTAATCCTGCACAATATCGAATTACAATTGCCGAATCCTTATTAACGTCATCTAGATGTATGAAAGACGTTTGTCAATATTGTTTCAGCGATCGTCAAATATCTTTAGTAATGTGCAATACTTGTCGACGTTGGGCACATCAATTGTGTCTCAAAAGGAAATTCAATGATACAACAAACTGGACAGATCCAAATGCAAAGTATAGATGCTTATTGTGTGCCAAAGGTTCGACCATGGATGAAATATGTTCAATAAAGTTTAATCAATCGTATAAAATTTATTTTTTTCTACCCCTCTTTACAACTAACAAAATAGTTTTCAAGTATCGTCATCTTAATGCATACAGTTTCGATATATATCGTAGTTTCGATATATATATATATTATCGTTGAGATGTAGGATCTTTTAAGTGATTTTAAGGGTTGTTTTTCGAGAGTAAGGGTGTCTTCCGACGTATGTATCAAATCGTACTGTTTTGTACGTTGTGTAAGAATGTTAGGAGCTCCTCTATGCAAAAGGACAAGGGCGACAAATCATTCGTTGAGATGTAGGATCTTTTAAGTGATTTTAAGGGTTGTTTTTCGAGTATAAGGGTGTCTTCCGACGCATGTATCGAATTGTATTGTTTTGTACGTTGTGTAAGAATGTTAGGAGCTCCTCTATGCAAAAGGACAAGGGCGACAACTCATTTGTTGAGGTGCAAGAATATTTTATTTGATTTTAGGGGTGGTTTTTCGAGTATAAGGGTGTCTTTCAACGCGTGTATTGCATTAATCGTTTCTGTACTTTTTTTTGGCCCTCAGAACTTGCTCTATGCAAAAGGGTAATGGCAACAAACCCGTTTTAGAAAATCGCTTCTGGAACGTTCCAAACTTCAACCAGCTTAAAAATAAAATACATATATGTTATCAAATAATTATTTGTAATTTATAGTTTATTTATTGCTGTTCTTTCGGGTTTTGGCATTACTGCTGGCGCTCATAGATTATGGTGTCATCGGTCTTATAAAGCGAAATGGCCACTGAGACTCATTCTTGTAATTCTCAATGCTGCTGCTCTCCAAGTAAGTTTATTGTTAATGTTTTTCTTCTCGTTTAAGTGTATTGTAAACTTTTGTTAGCTATTATTTAGAGTTCTACATTTTATTTCTGTTTTTGTAGTATTCAAATTTTATTAAGCTATAATTTTTAGGATAACATTTTCGTGTGGGTTAGAGATCATAGAACGCATCATAAATTCACTGACACTGATGCGGATCCGTATAATGCGCGTAGAGGATTTTTTTTCTCGCATATCGGATGGCTTATGGTTCATAAACATTCGGACGTCATTATCAAGGGTGCTACGATTGACATGAGTGATATAGAACAAGACCCCCTCGTGGTCTTTCAAAGAAAGTACGACAGGCATAACTTATTTTTACGGGACCAAATGAAGCATTGTTCGTTTGACTTTATATATTGATATTATCTTTTTTATTCATATTTTTTTAGATGGTATTCATATTTGGTAGTACTCTGTTGCTTTATCATACCAATATTGGTACCTTGGTTGGCATGGAATGAGAGTTTCTGGTATGCATGGCACATGTCTGTGTGCAGATATGGTTTAAATTTAAATTTTACTTGGGCGGTGAATTCTGTGGCCACTTATGGGGTGAAAAACCATATAATAAGTATGCATTTGTGCAGTATATGTGACTTATTATGTACAAATATATATGTATATATTTATTTATTTAAAATTAGTGAATCGTATTTATAATAATTCACATCATATCGGTGCTTAAAAATTACACAGGCACACAAAAAAACAAAAGTGGTATGTCCGAAAAACTAGACTCCCTACGCCTTGGTTTTTTGGTCCTCTGAATCAAATCCGTTTAACTCCATCAAGTCCCAGTTTTTTATAATCTTAAAAAATATAAATTTCGGGGTAAATTCGACTTTATATGAAGAAATCATTTAACTCTTGGCTGAAATTTAATGGAAACGTTATGCTGATGATATATGTCGGTGTACTGAACTATCATGCCTATTTATACTAAAGATATTTGCATACCTTCTTGAAATACGAGATCACAGCAAGAAGGAAGCTATATTTACCGTGAGTAGCGTGCTCTCTGGTCTCAAACGTTCTGTGTAAAGGTATTCGTTTTTTTCGCTTTCTTGCTCTTTGTAGTATATCTCTTTTCACTGTCCAGTAATAGTCAGCCATCATATTTACATTCCACCTTCCTTGATATCGACATTCCATTTCTCTGATATCTTGATGGAATCGTTCTTCTTGCTCTTTGCTATAATCACCGAGATTTTCTAGGAACCAATCGAAATGCAAATCCAAGAAATGTATCTTCAAATTCATCAGACATCCTAATTTCTTAAAGTTTTCAATCATTTTTCCCACCAATTCTTTATAATCTGGATTTCTGTGATTTCTTAAAAAATTTCCGACAACGTTTTTGAAATTAAGCCATGCTTCTTTTTCGACATCATTCATTTTTGTAGCAAAGATCCCATCTTTTAACAATGTATGAATCTGAGGGCCGTTGAATATTCCTTCTTTCAATTTAGCGTCAGAGATGTTAGGAAACGTTTGTCCTATGTAGCGAAAACAATCACCTTCTTTGTTTTAAAACATTTACGTATTGCTTCATTAAACCAAGTTTTATATGGAGAGGCGGAAGTAAAACTTTTGATTTGTCAATCAACGATTCCTTGATTATCTTCATGGATCCAGGTTTCATTGTGTTCCTTTCTGGCCATATTTTTATCCCCTTTTAGAGCAGTTGTCATCGCCCGTACTGTTCATCATGTCAGCAGATTCAGTACCCAAGTAGCAAACTAATGTCACAAAAAAACGTCAAAATGATGTCATTTTGCCACCTGGGTAGTTTCTATCCGAACATGACTTCATCATGTAATGGATGCAAGAAGTATTCAACTTCTTATAGATCGGAAAAATAAGTAAACATAAACACAAGATCATTGTGTTTTTTACGGCACAAAGACAATTGATGGTCCATTTTTTATTTATCGCATCCAAGTAAAGAGTGCACTATTTACAGTAAATATAGCTTCCTTCTTGCTGTGATCTCGTATTTCAAGAAGGTATGCAAAGTATCTCATAGTATAAATAGGTATAATAGTTCAATACACCAATATATATCATCGGCATAACGTTTCCAATTAAAAATAAAATTTCGTTTAAATTTCAGCCGAGAGTTGAATGATTTTTCCATATAAAGTCGAATTTACCCTGAAATTTCATATATTTTAAGGTTATAAAAATTGGGATCTGATGGAGTTAAACGGACCTCGGATTTTGATTCAGAGCAGCAACAAACCAAAAAGTAGGGGGGTCTCTCGGACATACTACTTTTGTTTTTTTGTGTAACAGTGTTATTATTATATTATATAGATCAATCAGCTCTACCGACAATATTGCAGTTTCTATCATGGCTCTTGGCGAAGGCTGGCACAATTATCATCACATTTTCCCTTGGGATTACAAAACAGCGGAATTTGGAAATTTGGGTTGAATTTACCACAGCATTTATCGACTTCTTTGTTTATTTAGGTTTAGCTTACGATTTAAAAACTGCATCCGCCGACATGATAAAAAAACGTTCTCTTCAAAGCAATGAAAATAAGAGTTACTAACTAATCGTGCAAAATTAAAGGATCCCTCGACTGTCTATATTGGTAACAAAATTACGATTTTCATATTTCTAGTCTTTTGTTGCATTAATTTGACAGAATTAAAAATCCTTCTTCAAGATTGCAATACATATCAACGATCCAAGAAACTCCAATTTTATATGAAAAACGAGAAATGAGAAATGAATACGAAATTACAGTTT